CCCCACGAGCCCAGGTTGCCCAAAGCCGCACCCAGCCTGGCCTTGAACCCCTCCAGGGATGGGGCATCCACAGCTTCTCTGGGCCCCCTGGGCCACTGCCTCACCCCCCGCACAGGAAAACATTTCTTCCCAAAACCTCATCTCAATCTCCCCTCTTTCAGCTTCAAACTGTTCCCCCTTGTCCTATCCGCACACCCCCTGATCCAGAGCCCCCCCATCTCTCCTGTAGCCCCCTTTCAGCACTGGAAGCTGCTGGAAGGTCTCCCCGGAGCCTTCTCTTCTCCAGGGTATTGAAAACAAAATAAAACCATCAGCGAGGACTCAGCTGCTGTTGGCCGACGGCCACACACATCCCCAGGAAGCGGATGCATCCTGGGGAAGGGGTTTGAAAACAAAATAAAACCATCAGCGAGGACTCAGCTGCTGTTGGCCGACGGCCACACACATCCCCAGGAAGCGGATGCATCCTGGGGAAGGGGTCCAGCATCCGCTTGCTGCTGGATCCCCCCCCCACCGGACACCCCGAAACCCCCCCAACAACCTGAGACATGTTCAGGGGCTGGAGCTGCAAAGCTGGGGCACGACAGCGTGCAGGACACCTCCTGGAAGCCGCTTCTTGGGGATAAGGAACCGAGGAACGGAGAGAGACTGGAGACAGCTCCTGCCCAGGACACTGCCGTCCCAAACCGGAGGGACCGACGCTGCGGGGAAATGCTGGAGGAGGAGAGGAGCAGCGCTCCAGGTACAGCTCTGGCACGCTGTAGCCCGGCCACCTCGGAGCACGCACTGGACGGATCCTTCTCCCACCGCGGCTGCAGCAAAGCTGATTCCTCCTGCCCGGCAGCTCGGCAGTCACCGGAGCACGGGGATACTCACCCTGCTGCTCCGCCACCCGGCAGGAGCTCAGCATGTGCGCGGCAGGAATTGGTTCCCGATAAAACCACGCACAAGGAGCAGTTCTGCAATGCAGCGCTACTCACGTCGGTACCAGAAATTCCATTTTATTTTGGGATAGAAGTTCATCCCTGGGACTTGTGTCCTCACTGCAACCTCGGAAGTACCAACACAACCAGGCGTGTGCTGATCAAACCCCTGAGCTGGAAGACGGCAGTAAAACCAACCCCGCATCTCACTGACCCTCACGCCGCCCGATGAAGAACACGTGAGTACAATAAACCTCCCTCATCTCTTGGGGTTACGATCACCTTTGTGTAACGTCTCACGGGTGAGGATCAAACAGGTCAAGGACACTCAGGGGTAACTGCGGACAAGCTCCCACCCTGGGGCAGCGAACCGACCCAAATCACCAGCTGTACGACTGCCCAGAGCCCAAACACCGCACACAGGCGACAGCCACAGCTCCTCCCATCCATTTCCTTATTTTAAAGTTGCAATCATTGCTGAAATATGGAAAAAACCAAACCTGCATGCTCCTACTGCCCTTCTCTGTTCCAGGAAATGAAGCGCAAGCTCGTGCCAGGAACAGAAATTAACCCCCGCAGCCCTGCAAGCTTTCGTCCTGGAGAAGCGAGCAGCCTGCCGTCTCCAGCCACAGCTACACAAAGCACAAAAGATTTTTTTTTTGCAAATCACCAGCTCTGCCATTCCGCTTTTTGGGTCTAGCAGCTGGTTCCAAGGTTTGGTCCCCAGCCTGGCACACAGACATCACCCATCTACGAAGACCGGCTTGGTGCTGCTCGAAGGCAAACATGTCCCTCAGGTCAGACACCCAAGACGAGAGAACTCCCATTTTTTCCTGCTCTCAGCACCCAATCTGGCATCACCCTGGCACAAGGCTTCTGCCTGGGCACCACAGAACAAATCAGGAGCTCAACTCACCTGTGTACGGCCAACCTAGATACCTATTGCCAAAGAAAGGTGTTTTTTTAAAAAAACCCCAAACACTATTTTGTCATTTCTCTATTTCTGCATACTGGTCTCCAACACAGGGACAAGAGAACACTAGAGTGCATCTTCTCTAGATAAACTGCCACGTGGGGCTTCACATCAAGTCTTACTCCAAGAGAAAAACAGCATCACTAGGACAACAACAAACTTTTGTCACTCCCACCTGAAGTCTCCCAGAAAGGACAAATGAACCATTTTCCCCTGGCGGGTTACATCCTCCCGGCACAAAGAGAACATCTGGCTTTTCAGGGACTGTCCGACTGCAGTGTCGGGACACTCGGTGCTTGCTCCAACACACCCTGAGCCCGGCCAGGAGGCTGTCACCTGGCGAAGGCAGACCAGGAGAGTACAAAACCAAAGGTGAGGTGGTCCTTGCAGTGAATTTAGAAAAGAAGCAGGTTAGCACAGGCTGGAAGTGTCAGCTTGAGGCGTTATGTCCTGCGTTTATTAAAACAAGAGGTGTGGCTACGCAAAAAGAGTCATTACAGTAAGAGTGCTCTCAGCCTCGGACTGCAAACACCGTACATTCACACTGACTTCTGACGGACCAGAATTTCTCTCCTTTCCCACATGGTTAACACTTGCATTTATTAATCAAGTCTTGTTTCCTCCCAGCACCAGTGGCATCTGCTCTGTAAGATGAACTTTCATGCTCAAACCTTGCCATGGTAACATTCAAAAGCCAATTTGCACCATGTGTTCCTCTCTGTTTCTCTCCACCTTTTTTCTGCTCACCATCTTTTTTCAAATTGTTTCGATTTCAAAAGGTCTAGTCCTCTGGATCTGGTGTGACAGCAACAGTAGCAAGCGAGAGGACAGAAAATGTTACTAAAGAGCAAGCTCGTTAATCGTGATTAAGCTACTCGGGAGATGCCTTCCCAAGGCGAAGTCCGCTCCTGGCAATGGAAATGCCCGGGCACCGTCGCCGCAGGCAGGCTGGACCACGGGAGGCAGAACCTAGATGAGACGCTATTAATCCAAGTGGTTTCATCTCCACGTGTTTTCATGACATTTTTAAAAGAGCATGAAAATAAACCTTTATTTCAGTTAACACCCACCAATATTCAAGATATATGTTCACAGTTTTAGTTCTTGACACAAACGGACTGAAAGAGGCAAATTTACATCTATCAGAACAGCAGACGGAACAACTGTAAGTACAAGCTGTCTCAAAAAAAAAAATCATACGTGACATGCTATTCGGGGAACTGCTCTATGCTCTAAAGCAGGAGAAGGGAAAGCTTCTGACCAAGTCCTGCTAGCAGGGCCCCAAACAACAGCCCAGAAGTCATCTGGAAAAAAAAAAAAAAAAAAAAAAGCTGAGAGGCAACTGAAAGAGCAAATATACAGTTGAGGTAAGGGGAGGAAGGTTTATGTTACAGAGAAAGCTTTTCTGCAAGCGTGTTTCTGCATATCAAGGCATTAGTTTAGTTGTATTATCCAAGGTGTCCCTAACGCTGAACACGTTCTACCAAACCCCAAAGGGAGAGGGCAGAGAAACAACTCAGGGCTGGACCTCCAAGAGCCCTGAGCACCTGGGAAAGATCTGCTTCAAGTCAGGAGAAATGAACCAAGAGATTTTACCATCCACCATTTGAAAACTTGCCTCCTTCTCACAGCCCGGAACTTTAAACCAGAGGTGAGTGCACTAAAAAGTCTGATCCGATGATATTAACAGTGTTTTACAACAAAAACTTTTGTAGAAAATAGTTCAGCTAAAGCAAGCCAGCTAAACACCACAGATAAGGAGTTCGGTATTTCATATTCAAAGGTCTCCAATACTTTTTGCCTGTCCTGTACAGCTCTTAAAAAAATAGGGCGTTACCTTTTGTTTTCTATCTACCTAGTTAAGAAACTACAAATATGTTATAAGCTGTCCAAAGTGTAAAACATTAAATAAAATGAGAAACCTGTTTCTAGTCTCCTAACAAATGCTGCAGATAAAAACCCTAAGAAACCCTCTTCATTAGCCATTCGCTCAACTCCTTTTGCGTACTGAAGTGACAATCCTGTTCACCAGGATCAAATTAAACCTACAGCAAATTTAGACGGGGGTAGAAAGGATTTCTTACAGTCGCGCTCTGAAAAACATTCATTTGTCAGCTAGCACTCCGATCTTGAACACCACAGAGATCCAGAACAAGATTTTGACGGAGAGGTTACGTGTCGGGGATTTGTTTCGCATCTTTTTGTTGTCTCGCGCACAGATTGCAATGTCCCCGTGCGAAACGGAAAACAACTCGCACCTGCCAGACCCCGCCAAGGCCCGTGGTTTCTTCTTCAGAAGACCTGCCGCTGTCGTGTGAACGTGTCAGGTACGGATGTACTCGTGTCAACAGACTGTGCTGATAAACTCCACGTCCCAGCCGGAGTCCAGCCGGACTACCGGAGCAACGGCTACCACCTTCCCCCGCCTCCCAGCTCCAACACCTCCAACCTGCGGGGTACCCTCGCAAAGAAAAAGCATAGGTAATTTAAAAACTCTCTCTTTTTTTTTTTTTGTCCAACAAAGTATCTTCTTCTGTTGAAGGGAGGAGGAGGGAATAAAGGTAAAAAGGGGGAGTGAAAGGTGTGATGCATTAATTTTTAAAAACTGTTTAGACCAATTATCCACATGCCATTGCTGGATCAATGCACAGGTATTTAACTATAAACCAACGTGCTTTGAATTTTTTTCAAGTATCTGGTATCAGGTTTTGTATAAAGATTTTGCGCAAACTCCCAAGCACAGATGAAAAATAACTGTTTTTCCAAGCCTGAAATTAAGCTTTGAAACTAGAGTACTCCAGGAGTTAGTATTCCATACAGCACTAACAGTCTGCCAAATTCAAATTTCACATATTCCAAAAGACCACGGGCTGATAAAAATCTGCTAAACAGGAGTTAAGGAAACGGAAATAGTGTGCGATAATTAAAACCCAGTTTGTAGTTTAGGGAAAACGTCTAAAATCCTGAATTAAAAAAAAAAAAACAACCCACAAATGAAGTGAAAGCTTTTAACTGGTACACACTGTTCACACCTATATTTCAAGTTTGGAAACGCATATTTTCAAGCAGCAATACAAAAAAGTATCCATGAAGAATGCATAATCTCTGAAAAAATTATGAAAACATCCCTGCTACCATTACATTTCTAAATACAAAACTGACTACCATATTGTTGCTTCTGTGTAGCGAGAGAAGTTCATTTTCAAAACAGATAAAATTCAGTCTTTAGGTGTGAATGGTATGAATGACAGTCTCCTTTTTTTTTTTTTAATTTCTTAGTTGTTTAGGATCCTTAAGCATGCAAGCCTCGGAGAGGAAGGCCCGACAAGGGCAGGGTTGGCTTATGACATCCAGTTTAGGACAGAGCTGGGAAAGCCTCTGGGTCATCTACATCAGGAGCAGAAGCGCTTGACTGAAAGAGAAACATCAGAAAGTTATTACCTTCAGCGGCATCGAGCCCTGTTGCGTTTCTAATTCTTGACACTTTACCAAGTATCACTCCATTACAGTGGAGCAAGCAGCGTAGTACTGGACAAATCACTACAAGAGCAACTTATTATCACACAAGGTTACGTCCTTTTTTCTGTTCTTAAA